CAAATCACACGCAAGTGATTTTCCCCACTCTTTTATCATCACTCCACCCAACTAGCTGTGGATTCCTACCGGTCCCATCTTTGCCCCCTACAAAATCTACTGATTCCGGGCCTCTTTGGAAGCCTTTACCATCCATGCAGATTTTCAGTTAACGCTACATGGTGTAGGACCCATGTGGCTTCACCTACATCCCTATTGTGTCTGCGGTCTTCAACTCCACAGGGGCCACGAAGCTTCCAGGGGTCTCCCCCCTCGGCTCTGCCAGGTGCCATAAGCCCTCAATGAACCTTCCCTGATAACGAGGCGCTAAGGAGGAAACGGGCCCCCTGGGACTCTTACAGATATGGGTAACAGGGGGAGGTATTTATAGCAAATGCTACCAAGCCATCTATGCATGACCTTTTGGCATTAGGGTGACTAAATGTCCCCCTTTCCTAGGTACTAGCTCATTCAGAGCCACTGAGGATAGACAGAGTTTCTGTATCAGGTGAAACTCCAGTTTCACCGAAAGGAATTTCACTTTCTGGGCTTAGGGGGAAGCTTACAGCATGGCCAGCAGATACAGGAGCCCAGAAAATGCTCTCTGCAGCTCCTCCCATCCCCATGCCCCGTACCACCCAGGTGGTTAACCACTAATTAGGTGACAGAAAAACGCAGAGCATTTCCTATCATCAGTTCCCAAAGTTATAAGGAACCAATTATCCCACAGAGCTATCTCCATGACACGGAGTTCCCCTGGGAAACCCCAAGTCTCCTTCCAGGAGCAATTCAAAACAGAGGGCAATAAAAAATTCAATACTGGAAATGTCCAATTTTGGGGGGGCCCATGTCTTCTGGAAATCTACCTGTGCTTCTGTGGCTCAAAAGGCCTGTCTTCTGCATGTGCGGACACAAGATAAGCACCGTGTTTCCATTTGCTTCCCCTCTGCCTCCACCTCAGGTCATGGCCATCATTCTTCACTGAAGATACCCTTTCGTGACTCTTTCTTTAAAGCTACAACATGAGAATGTTTACTTTCAGACGCAGAGTCACAGAGAGGACTCTGCAAGTGGAGATGTCCGTGTTGGGGGTCTGGGTCCCAGGCGATGGGCGTCCATGGATAAACGTAGACGGCCAGGAAGGGGTCATCTGTCCACAGAGAGGAGCCCAGTGCGCCAAGAACCCATCCATCATCTTCCGGGGCAGCCACATCCGCAGCGTTGGTGTCTTACCTGTCCACCCCTGGGTTCTGTTCCTTATGTGTCCCCAGACCCTTCCCCCTCCTCCTTGCTGGAGGAATGTTCTTCCTGGAGCCCATTCAGACTTTCCTTCTTGAAACTACATCTGCCTGTTGAATGCAAAGGCTGGCGTCTAGAACCCTCCCTCCTGGATGCCCCTCCCCCTCCAACCTCCCTCCTGGAGAGTTCTACTTGGCAAGGCTGACTTTGGGACCAGCCCATTTTTGAGAGATGCCTGGCAGGGGGCTCTCCAAACCCCGAATCTCTCTCCAACCACCTTCAGCCTTTGGCCATAGCCAGGGCAGCTTAAACGGTTAACTCTTTGCAGACTACTTTTCTTAAATCCATCTACTTTTTAAAACACACACGTTTAAAAATGAAATTACAGCAACATCATTTGCCATAAATGGAATGTAACTCAACCACCAACTCAACACACACACACACACACACACACACACACACACACAAAAGTTGTGAAATCCTAATTAGTGTCCCTAGCTGAAGGTACTACATTTGAGGCCTGCTCTGTCTTCCTGAAACACCATCGCCAAGTTCCACAGATGTGTAAAAGACCCCGGCACAAACCAAGACCCTCTCTGGCACAATCGGCGGCACTAAAGGAAAAGGAAGGGCAACACTTCCCAGACACGAAGGCAAGTGTTATTTAACACCCCTGTCTCCACCATCTAAAATCATCTACCTGCAGTAGACAACCCCTCCCTCTCTCCCAAGAAACTTTACTGAGCATCTACTCTACGCCAGGTACTTTCCAGGGGCTGGGGAACCAGACATCTTTTTTTATAAAGGGCTCTGCTCCTCTAGGAGACTTCAAACCTACACTTTAAAGAAACAGCTAGACAGCACCCAGGCTAGCTTTCCCTCCAGTCTAGCACGTTACACTAAGGAAAAACCCAGATTCAAAACTGTGAAAACCAGTTCCTACCCCACACCCCCAGAGACTCACTATTTGCCAAGCAGTTTGTCTGATTAAGCTCTCAATAGAAAAAAAAAGACGTGTGGTTATTAGTTAAGTGTTTGGTATACTTTGTAAGCAGCATTAACCACCCCCAAAAACCTCAAGGCTTCCCAGATAAACAAGTCCCCACCCAAATGCCCTTCCCCACACATCCTAGGGGTAAGCCCCCCATGCCAGAAGACAACTGACATTTAAAACCCGATTGAAACCACACCAAATGCTGTCTATTTTAAATGTCAACGAGGAAGGCGGCCAGGCTGGCAGGTTCCTCCAGGACTGATTGAAAAACCACTTTCCTGGAGCTGCATTTAAAAATCAATCACCACAGATGGCAAGAGGAGAGGCTGAGGACAAGACTGACCTTTGAGTCAAGGGCAACCGAGATGATGCACATTTGTAACTAATTACCTCTTTCTTAATCTTTATGTTTGTCTCTCCCTGGACAGGGACTTTCTTTCCAGCAGCTGAGACATCCGAGCCAAGTGAATTCTAGGCTTCCGCAACATCTCACTTTGTCCAGATTTACAGTGGCCATTTTCTGCTCTGTGTGTGTATGTGCGTGCTTGTGCATGTGTATGTCTCAAAAGGACTGACATCTGTCATTCTTTAAAAGTGCACATAAAGGGCTCCTAGGTGGCTCAGTTGGTTAAGTATCTGCCTTTGGCTCAGGTCACGGTCCTAGGGTCTTGGGATTGTGTCCCATGGTGGGCTCCCTGCTCAGTGGGGAGTTTGCTTCTCCCTCTCCTACTCCCTTCCCCTTCTGCTTTCCCTGCTTGTGCTCTCTCTCTGTCAAATAAATAAAAAATCTTAAAAAAAAAAAAAAGTGGGGACTCCTGGGTGGCTCAGTGGGTTAAGCCTCTGCCTTCGGCTCAGGTCATGGTCTCAGGGTCCTGGAATCGAGCCCCTCGTGGGGCTCTCTGCTTAGCGGGGAGCCTGCTTCCTCCCCCTCTCAGTCTGCCTCTCTGCCTACTTGTGATTTCTGTCTGTCAAATAAATAAATAAAATCTTTTAAAAAAAAGTGCACATAAAACTAAAAGCTTGTAAAAGTAGAATCTTGGTTAAAAAAATAAAAAAAGAGAATGCCTGTGTTTTTAAGACCTAAAACCTCTTTAAACTGTCTTAAAAGTATTTTCTCCTAGGATATGGAATAACATCACCAACCTGAATCCAAAATGTTTTCTGTTTTTATGTTACTTTCCCATTAAAAGGGATGGATGACACCTTAGAATAACAAACATGCATACGTATAAATTTAACGACCACGTTACTCTGTCTTCCTCTGTGCTCGTCCCTGTCCTGAACACTTGACAAACAATAATCTAGTTAGTCCTCACAACAACCTCATAAGGTTTGGTCCTATTACCCCTGTTTTTATAGAACAGAAAACTAAAACAGAGAGAGGTAAAGCAATTTGATCAAAGTCACACAGCTAGTATGTGGCTATGCCAGGCACTAAAGTCAGGTAATCTGGATTTAGGGGGCACGATCTTGACCACTCCCTCCCCACTCTGTCCCCCCACCTCTCTCCCCACACACTCTGTGCTGAATGCTTTACAGGTGTTATTTCATGTAAACCATACAACGACCTCTAATGTTTTTATTCCCATTTTACAGATGGGGAAAACAAAGCATCTTGTCCGAGACCACTCAGCTAATAAGTGAAAAGTGGGAGCTCGGACTTCACCAAAATGTCACCTAGTCAGTTACTCAGTCAAACAATGGTGTCCGTCTCCAGGCCCTCCCCTGCCCCCATAAGCCTGTGGTTAGAATCAGGAAAACAACTTGCATTCGTCCTCTAACTGAGCCTAGAAGCTTGAATTCAATAGCCCCGAAACAACAGGGTTTGGGATGTCAGATCCCCTGATCAAATTAACAGAACAGACCACAAGGCATAGCGACCAGAAATAAGTTGGCTGAAGGGTACTTATAGTTATGGTGACTTAGATGCCATCCATGGGGGTGCGAGGGAAGGTCTCTAGAGCAGCAACTCTCAATGGGTGGTCGGGGGTCCCACGGGAGATCCTCAGACCTTTTCTACATGGTCAAAACAATTTCCTCAGTTACCCTAAGCTACAACTTGCCCCTTTCCTTGCACCCTCCATGAGTGTACCGTGCAATTTTCCAGAGACAAGACGGGCAGTATTGCAACAACTGAACAGGAGACAGATACCAGGATCCAGCTCTCCCCTCTGAGATCAGACGGCGCAGATTCACAAGCCTAAAACAATGCCGCTCTTCGGTTAGTTTATTCTGGAAAAGCTGTCTTTCACAAAAATGCTGTTTAGGCTAATGGGTAATAGGTCTATTATTTAAATGAATTAAATATTAAATTAAGTAATAAATAAATAAAATAATAATAAAATAAAAATATATAGATATATAAATATATAATATATATTATATATAATATATAGATATATAATACATAAGTATATATAAATATATATTTATTTATAAATATAGAAATAAAAAAATAAAAATAAAATAATAAATAATAATAAATAATAAATAGAAATTAAATATTAAATGAATTAAATATTTTAAAGTTTTTCAGGTTTCATTCCAATAGGGTGAAGACAGAGATAACCCAAGAAAGTGGTCATTTTTAAGAGCGTAAAGGAGTTGTGAGACTAAAAAGCCTGAGGGCTGCTGCCCAAGACCATCATGTCCATTATAGGAGGGGAGGGGCCACACTGACCCTGCACGTATCGGGGACTCGGTGACCGTAATTCTGGACGCTGAAGGAACGGTACATGCATCCACGTACATTGGAATGACGGATACTCAGACCCATGCAGCTTACCTGGAAATAGTCCGTAATGAATGATCCAAGTTCACTCTTCAGCAGCCTCCTGGGGAGAGAGAAACACTGTCAAGCAGTCCTGGATGGTACAGCTCCCGGGGCCTTGTTCACAGATGCATGACGATAATAGAGTGCTCGCCAATGGCACAGGGACCAAGGCCAGGTCTAAGAAGGGAGTGTGTTAGGCTCTAGTAACCCAAGAGTTCTTAGGGAATTCAGGCAATGGGAATCCTACAGGGGATCCAGGCAGCCACAGAGGATTCTTTTTCTTTTTCTTTTTCTTTTTCTTTTTTTTTTTTAAGAGAAAGAGAAAGAGTGAGAGAGGGAGGGACAGACAGAGAGGGAGAGAGTGAATCATCAGCAGGCTCCACACCCAGCGCAGAGCCCAACACGGGGCTCAATCTCACGACTCTGAGATCACGACCCAGCCACTGGACATTCTAATAGGGTTGGTAGAGGCAAGCCCAGGGCACCTGGCTTCATGTGGAGGGGGTAAAAAAAAAAAAAAGCAAAGAGAAGAAAGACCATAATTTTAGAATCCTCCATATTTGTAGACATTATGGTTTAAACCACATCTGTCATACATTCTTCAACCCATGATTATAAAATACGAGCGAGAGGAAGGTAATTATTATCCCTCTTATGCAGATAGAGAAACGGAGGCTCAGAATAAGCCAGTGACAGAGTCAAGATTCAAACCCAGGCCTCCTGCAAATTCAACATCTTTCCCCATAATCCCACCCGGTCTCTCCTCCAAATCCATCAGCTCATTCAGCTCCATGCCGTGGCTGGGCTGGTCTTGCTGCCCATCCCCGAGGGACTGAGGAAGTCCTTCAAAGGCGACTACGACAGGGAAAAGGGATTCTACTCACCCAGCCACAAACATTTATTGAGCTGTCCTTCACGTGCCAGACACTGTGGTGGTACCAGCTACCCAGAAGTGAGCACAGGAGGTCTCGAGGCTCACAAACACACTCGCGAGATGACTTCAGAATCTCAAGAGCTAAAATGACTTTTTATTTTTACTTTTTTTAAAGATTTTATTTATTTATTTGACAGAGATCACAATCAGGCAGAGAGGCAGGCAGAGAGAGAAGGGGAAGCAGGCTCCCCGCTGAGCAGAGAGCCCAATGCGGGGCTCGATCCCAGGACCCTGGGATCATGACCTGAGCCGAAGGCAGAGGCTTTAACCCACTGAGCCACCCAGGCGCCCCTAAAATGACTTTTTAAAATAGAGGTCTTGGCACCAGCCCCTCTTCTCCCCATGACAATCATGGGACTGGCCCCACTGCTCTTTTTTTCATTGGATCCAAACAAGGTGAGAAAGCTAGAAACAAGAATAACTCTTTCCCCAGACCCGGGGCGTTCCCTAGGAGGGTACGCTTTTCACTGCTTCAAATGATGTCACTGACCCATCCCACCAGTTATGGTCATGGAGGGGCAAATGCTCAGGCTTCTGACAACACCTGCTGGCTATCACCCTCCACCCCAACAATGTGTTCCCACATGTCGCTGGAGAAACAGGAAGTCACAGCGAGGTATCATTAGGGGCAGACCACAGACGCAACAGGATTGCAAAAGAAACAGAGAGAGAGAGCTCCATGGTCCACATTCTCATACCAGAGAGACACCAGCAAAGCTGCAAACACATGCTGAGCTAGGAAAATACCTTCCTTGGCCCACGACCGAAAATGTGCATGTGACCGATACTGCATTCTGAGACCTAATATCATGGGGGGGCTCTTGGAAGTCCACCCCACAAACACAGCCCAGCAGCTCACCTGGTTGTGGGCCTCTCTGACAAGAGGCGAGGGAACATGCATCAGTCAGCAGGCCAAGGGTTGGTCGGTCATCATGGCTCCTGGAGGCTAGAGGCATCTCCCAGGCAGAAAAGAAAAACCAGTGGGGAGCCCCAGGTGCAGGCTTTCGAACAGGAAGAGTCAGGGAGGCCTCTTCTGACTGCTGGAGGGAGAGGCACCTCCCAGAAAGGTCTTCATGGCCACTGGGAAGCCTTGAAACCACAGAGGAGGAAGCCAAGCTTCCTCAAGGAGGGGACAAAGAAGCCCTAATAATAACGGGCTACCCCGAACAGAGCTTCCCAAGCACTTCTTGGGTCCCCGTGACACTGAGGGATGGACACGGCTTTGAGATCAAGTAACAGGCTATGGAATTGGTGTCCACGAGCAATTGTGCTGGGACACGGTTCGTGAAGGTGCTCTGGGTAAAGTGGAAGGAGAAAGAGGTCTGGGGGAAGGGTAGTCCTTCGAGGTCAGCTCCTATGGGAAACCCGCCTGGAGCACCGTGGAGGAGGGACCCATGTCAATGTGAGCATCGTTCATTAGGCTGGACACGGTCAGCAGGTGATTACTGCCCAGGGACGCTTCACGGCAGTGCTCGGGAGCATCACCACCCTACCCAACTGAGGAATCCGAGAAGCACAGTCCCCGACTGGTCAGGGGAGGCAGAAAGGCTGCATCCACAGCGAGGGGAAGGTACAGCATCTTCTGGTCCTGCCAGGGCTGCTGCCAGCCATGGCCACGGGCAGATGCTGCAGAGCGTTGTGGAGAGACAAAGCTTGCGGGGCCGGGGGGGAGGGTACCAGCTGATAAAGGAGCAGAGGCTAAGGAGGAAACTCAACACAACCAAGACAAGGACAAACTTAGAAGCTTCAAAAAGACTGAAGCTTCTAAGACTGAAGCTAGAAGCAGCCATACCAGGAGCAGCGCGATGGCGATGGAGAAGATTGAGCGGCGGAGCACGGAGATGCTTCCACCAAGCCGAGAACGTGGACCCTCGGCCCTTTACCGAGGAGGAACCAGACAGAGGAATCTGCACGACAATCCACCTCCTATACTTTCAACCTAATTAATGGACTACTTCTGCTCGGGTATGGTAAGAGAACCAGACGTGTGTCCTTTCCTCAGTCCCGAGTTCAAACCCCTGTCCACTAGGTCTTGTGATATAGACGACACCGAACAGAGTAGACCCCATTGGATCATTTAAGTCAATGTTCTGTTGTCCTGGGGAGGGGAGGGGCCAATCACTAGGCAGTTCTGTCCCTTACAAAACCTGTCCTACTTCCGAGCACGTTATGTGTTAGACAAGGTCACTGCATCTATGTCCAGAGTTTTTGCTGCAGCAAAATATAGGAATCAACGTAAATGGGCACCAATAAAGTAATCACAAAAAAAATCATGGTTCATTCGTACAATGGAATTTTATGCAATGGTTAAAAAAAAAAGAACTCTAGTGATACATAAAGATCTAGGTTATATTAAGTCTTAAAAAATGCAAGATGCTGAAAGGTGTATATAATATGCTTCCTTGTGGAAAGATAAGAGAAAAATAAGAATATGTATTTTTATTTACAGAATATGAATTAACTCAGGTGTCACATCTGTTCTTTGAACTTATTGTTCTGAAACAGCGATGTGATTTGGTTTCCAACAGGCCCTTTGAACTGAAATAGACAGCACCTTGATTTTGAGAACACACCAAGCATGTATGCATTTTAAAAATTACATATAAATGCATTGGGTTTTGTCCCCTCCTCTCCATCTCCCCAGGTAAGGAGCTGGAGAAAGTTGCAGCCATTACTAGAAATTAAGTAGGGCAACAAATCACGTCAGCAAACTTTATTCCCTAAAGTTAGGAGGAGATAGAGATCCCAGTCTGTGGATCTCCTATAAACTGCTGAGTGCCCCCGGTTGCTTGTCCATATATACGTTCCTTACCTATGCATAAAGAAGTTCTGGAAGAATGTCCAATAAGCTGCTGTTCTAGTAATTATCTTTGGGAGGGGTGTTGAATGAGAACTGGATTTCTGGGGTATGGGAGATTCTTTTTTTTTTTTTAAGATTTTATTTATTTATTTGACAAACAGAGAGATCACAAGTAGGCAGAGAGGCAGGCAGAGAGAGAGGGGGAAACAGGCTCCCTGCTGAGCAGAGAGCCCAACACAGGGCTCAATCCCAGGACCCTGAGATCACGACCCAAGCCGAAGGCAGTGGCCCAACCCATTGAGCCACCCATGGGCCCCAAGATTCTTTATATTATAACCCCTTATTTATTTAAAATTTCTGTACCCCATGAATCCTATGAAAAAAGCCATAAATTTAATTAACAAGAACCACCACCAGAGTTACCACCAAATGGCCTGCAGCCGAGAAGGAATTCTGGGAGGGAGTTTTCATCAAGGTTGCAGTGTCAGGAAGCGGGTGGTCCCAGGGAACCCACCTCAGCCTGGCGGCCTGAGAATTCAACTCAGAGAGAAAAGTGGGGAGGCGGCCAGAGCTGGCCCAGCCACAGGAGAGCAGACTGCCGCTGAGTCACCGCACAAGCTCCAACCTGTTTCTATTCTCGGTGTTTATTCTGCTAGCACTTGATTTACAAGGAAAGAGTACTTCTGAAAAACATGATCTTAGCTGAACTGAGAGAAAAAGGGATTTTCCACACCTCTGTCTTGATACACCATCTTCAGGGGAGGACTCGGCAGTAGCTCTCCTCCAGAGCCAACGAGAGAGACTAGAGATCCACGAATTCATTCACCGAATCACAGCCGTTTCCAGAACACCTGCTGTGTGTCAGACACCGTGCGAGCTGCTGGAAGGGATGAACAGGGCCTGGACAGAGATTTCTCCCCGCCCAGGGCCACGGTCTCATGAGGCACAGGAGCCCTATCTTCTCCAAAAACAGACACTACGAGCACCAAGGCGTTAGAGGTGCGCAGACCTAAATTCACACAGAGTCAACTCACCCTCTAACCTTCCTCGCTAACTTCGCCAGTAGAGTTTGGAAAGCACCAGAAAGGAGAGCAAAGCAGGAGGAATGACAACAGAATTAACGAGCCTGTGGTTTGTGGTTCCCTAGATCCGAAAGAGGTGAAAACTCTCATTGCCTCCAAGCCCTAGGCTGCGTGTTCTGGCTAAGGCATGGGGGGCTGAGACTCTGGCAGCCTCCCTCCCCCTTTTTCCACTCTCCCCCAGGGAATTTTCCCTGAAAAGAGGAATGTAATTCCTTATTGGAACAAATAGATAAGAATAAGGAATC